CCCCCCAGCTGCTGCTTTCTGCCCCCGGCCCAGGGGCAGGGCAGTACAGCACAGCTAGCAAAAGGCAAGTCCAGGCTGCACACTGGGGGGAAGGGGGGAGAGGTGGCAGAAATCAGGGTAACATGGGGGGAAGATCACATCCTTGTGGGGCAGCAATGGAGGCTGGGGGGCCCATGAGGGTACACAAAACAGCAGGAGAGGGAAAGGTGGAGAAACCGCCCACGCAGTGTAGTAGTGGAGTGGCACCTGCACAGGTGCATGGAACTACAGGGTGGGGGTGTCTACACAGAGTGCAGCTCCACAGGATTCTAGAAGATGGATAGTTGTGATCTACAATGCTTCAAAAGACTGACCAGAGGGTTGAAGACCTCTAAATCATGATAAACTGTGTGGTGATTTGTAAAGCACAGGTAAAGATCCTTCAGATGAGCCTGACATACCAACATCAGCCTGAACTGGAATTCCCACCAACACTGTCATATAGCTACTTAAATTTCCTGAAGATAAGCAACCACTCTTATTACTTACAGCAAGATACCACATGCCATGCTTCTTAGCATTCAGACAGTTCTACAAAGACTTGACAAGGACTGTTCCAGCTTGCCTCCTGGCTCTCAATAAACCAGCATTCAAGTCTGCGTATAGGAACAGATTTCTAAGCTCCAAGTACGATGCTGGTGGTATGCCCCAAGTATAATCAGTTTCTTCTACTGCTGATACTTACAAGCCTCAAGTATTACATATCTTTTCATGATTCTTCTGCTTGCAGTGAGGAAGTTTTCAGAATCAGAAAGATGATATTTGCTTTTGGAAACTAAATACTTTCTATTAACTGTCCACAATGGATGAAGACTTACTAGAATAAGTATTTATATATGGGTTGCACTTTCCCCAAGTGCCACTCCGATCCCTTTCCCTTACTCAATCTGCTGCTCAGGTTTCTGCTCCCTCTCCTGTGCTTCTGACCAAACTGTTGCTCTGTTTCCTGCCCTATCTGCTGCATACCACACACAGAGGCTGCCCATGACACTTGTGAGCCCATGCTGTAGGTTGGTCCCCCCGCTCTAAAGCATTCAGGTAAGATCTCAGATAGAGTAAGCCAAAGCAGCTCCACTGAATATACTGAAAATATGGTGAGTTGTAGCCTGTATGATGGTTTGATTCTTTACGCCAAGGGTTGTCAATCAGGGGTATATCAGGGGTACCCCTTGGGGTATTTGAGAAGGTCCCGGGAAGTATGCGTGGGGTGCGCAGAGATGGAGCACCACCACCCACCACCCCATGTCACGGCCTCCCAGGAGCAAGGCCAAGCAGGGGCAGGGGCAAGGGCAGTGGCACCCCTTTGCAGGCTGCACAGGTGCCACACAGCTGGCTGGACACTGGGGAGGGGGGCGAGCTTGCATGCACTGGAGGCTGCCACCACTCTGCACTGCTGCCGCTCCGTGTCTGGCCGCACATCACTCCCCCAACTTTGCGTCCGTCCATGTGCCTCCCACCGGCTGTCAGGGGTACACCTATTAAAAATGGTTGAAAATCCCTGCTTTACGCATTTTACACGTTGAAGATAACTGTTTTCCTCATCAATACATTGATGAATGTCAAAACTACAATAAGCAGGAGTTATATGGAATTAAGTCATGTTACAAGATATATATAATTTATAGACCGATATAATTTTAGACCTTCTCTACTTGACGGAAGGCCATAAAATCCTCAGATTCAGAGCAAGACATATTCCAACCACCTGAAACTCCCATTGATAATTTTATGTTGAAGGAAATACTACAAATCTAGGGCCTGGACCCTTCCATAGATGATAATACTGAGTACTTTCAGAGTTACTCTGAAATTCTGAGTTAATAGACTCTTGGGGCCAGATTTTAAAAGGTATTCAGGGACTTAAAGATGTAGATAAGTACCTAGTCATATAAATTCCACCAAAATAAACAAGCTGTTCCTCTGAGCTTGTTTGATAATCCTACCATATATGCAAGTCCTTTAAAACTAAATCTTGATATCATATTAATAATTTAAAGTCACTATACTACTACTTTTGTCTAATAATCCACATGAAAACCTTGGAAAATGGACTATTTTTGTAAACAACCTAGTAGTATGAACTTCAGTCATCAAAACATTAGATTGCTCAATAATGGTATTGTAGGAAATAAATACAGCTGCTGACAGACACGGGAAAGAAAAAACCACCCACAAAAATCGTTCTTTCCTGGAAGCAGCAGCACATTATTTCAGCCTGGATCCACAGCATCTTTACAGATTATGCAGGTCAGCAAGGCTTTCTGGCACTCATATCTAATTGCCAATTCAATCAGCTATTAGATAAAAGTATCCTGCTGAAGTGCCCGATCTATACAGATGTTGGGTGAACCACGTCAACCAACATATGATGCCTCTTCTGGGCACGTGCTACACTCAGTGCAGGGGTGCACCAAGTTTAAAGTGCTATTGGGGCGGGGGGGAGCTACGTCTGTAAGCAGTCTACATGGCTCAATTCTTCCAGTTTGACTCATTTCCACATCCAAGATTCAAAGGACCATGAAGGTGTGATTTATACTAATGCCTACTTAAAGGGAAAGTACACACAAAAGCACTTGATTCCCACTTATCCCATCTTAACATTATGCTAACTACATATGTATTTGCAGTGCACAGACTTCAGTGCTGTACAGCATAGAGCTGATGATAGCTGTAGTCTCAAGGAATATACCAAAACATAAATATACAGCTCCGACAGGATCAGGTCCTCAAGGACCAGAAACCAACTTATTTTAGTTCAAGTATCACCTTTGATATGGAAATAATTTCCAGCAAAGTTTGAGTAAACAAATAGTAGAAAGTACTGTACAGACTTCTGTTCTGCTCAAACACAAGCTATCAGCAGAATAAAGTGCTTCAAAAGTCATACATACTTGCGGCACTGTGACTTCCCTATTAGAAGCAGGTTTAAAATTGGAAGGTGTCTGTCAAGGTAGAATAGCTATCGCCCTCCTTGAAAGACTCCACAACAGTCTCCAAGATTATGTGAAGAACCACATGCTGCCAAGGAGTCTTAGTTGGGTATCCCAACTCCTAGAAAAGCATATCTGCAAATTCTGCAGCTCTTCTCATACTGCATTGCAGCATTAACACTGGATACAAAACACATTTAGACACAAGAGTCAAACATGCTCCTCTGGCCCAAAGGCAGGAACACAACTAAACAGATCCATCTGATACAGTAAAATCCCACTATACATTTTAATCTACTATTTCAGAAGGAGAAAATAGAGGCGCTCTTCCAGAAGCTGTATCACATTATGCTTGAGGTTTAAAACAGCCTTAAAACATACAAGTTTTGCTCATTGTTTTACCTTGCAAACATCTGGCAAGGTCACTGTTTCTATAATGTTACTATAAAAACCAGGTATGAAGTTACCTTTTTTGACATTATCTTACATTATCTTTTTAAAACATTCAATTATTGTGTTTATATCTACATGCAAAATGCTTTTTAGTTGGTCTAATAAAAGGCATCATTTTGGAACCAAGAGTTCTAGATTTTTGCATTTCAAGGCCAAATCTTTCCTAACTTCCCCGGAGACTGATTTTTGGAAAAACCCACACAAGCATATTTGGGATTATATGGATATCCTTTGTTTGGCAGAAGTATTTATCAGTACAGTACTGAAGCCTGACAGGAAAAGATCTCCACCAAGGACTAATTTTTTTCTCTTCTCGGTCTTTATCAGATAGATTTAGCTCAGTCCCTCTTTCCCATATGCAACGGACAACTAAACAGGACCATAGGAAGCAGTCTGAATTCAGCTGTAAAACAGGTTTTTCAAAAACATTCTGCCAGCTGTTTAACCCATCATATGGAGCAAGAGACCGTTTGATAAGAAATTAAGCACGTGACAGTTTTGACAGCTCTTCACCCCAGGCAAATGTTTGCCCACCACGATGATTATACTTCTATGACACGGGGCAGGGATGAGGGATTACCATGGATTTACAGGTATGCTGTTTGGAAGAGCAACAAGCCACGTCAAGACCCCACCGCGAGCCCTCACCCACGGCCGCCCAGGGGTCCCCAACCGAATAGCCGCGAAATGCGCGGGGGGACCCCATTCCAGTGACATCATGCCGCCCCGGCCCAGCACCTGCGCCCCCAACGGCGCGGAACCCCCCGCTTCCCAGCCCCGCTCTGACCTGCGTCGCTCGCGGCCCGTGTGTGGGGGGAGGATGGAGACAGGGAAGACGAAGGCGAAGGCAGCGGCAGCAGTGTAGCTCCCCGCCGGCTGCTCAGCTCGAAGGAGTACGCGGCGTCGCCCCAAACCGGTTCCAGCTGCCCCCGGCCGAACCGGCAGCGGGGCGGGGCGCAAGTCGGGGCACGTGACCGTCGCAGCCAATAGGAGCAAGCCGCTGCGACGTGGAAGCGGGGAAGAGGGGGGAAAGGGCGGCTCCGGTTCCTAGAAAGCTCGGCCGGGGGCGGGGCCAAAGCCGCGAGAGGGCGGGGCAATTTCCAGTAAGACTGGCCTGTCCGCTTTGCAGAGGGTTCCCTTCGGGGGGCTGGTTGAGAGTGTGAGCAGTAGTCTGAGGTCCATACATTAATGCCTTGTGAGGTTCATGTCATCCATGGGCCACCAGTTGGACATCTCTACTGTATGGTGTTAGGCCTATTAGTTAA